CCCCCAAATGTTCTGCAGTGTGTAATAAATCAAAACTTTTCTCACACAGGTGGGATCCTGTTTTACATGAAGAAGTAGAGGTTTCATACAATAATGTCTCAGTTCACCTGCAAAAAAAGAGAGCTTTTCCTCATCACAAGGCTCTTATATCTGGACACCCTTCTTCTCCACAATGGGAGGGGTTGGTAACCTCTCTACCATATCCCCAAAACACTCATCCACATACCTTCCCACTTCTTCTTAGCTTCTCCTGATGAACCACCTCAGATTCAAAGGAATAAAATCATTTCCTACATACCGAGAATTCACTGTGGTGAACACACACATGCCCACAACAGGCACCCAGCATTTAAGCAGAAGTCAAACCTTGCGATGGGGATAATCAAGTGCCATCAAATAAATTCTGACTTATGTTGACCCCATTCAAGGTTTTCTAGGTAGGGAATACTCAGAAGTGGTTTACCCTTCCCTTCCTCTAGGGGGAGCCCTGAGACTGTGTGCAGCTGGCCCAAAACTACCCAGGCTGGCTCTTCTCCCAGGAGACACCAGTGGGGGAATCGAACTCCCAACCTCTGGCTCCACAGCCTGGTATCGAAACCACGGAGCTATCCAGCCGGTGGTGTCAAAGTCAATGCAAAATACTGGTTAGGCTCCACAGCCCTGCTGAATGTCTGGTTTCATTTGATTTCACCTATTAATGGTATTGCATTTTCCCCCATTCAGAATACAAGCTGCAAGGTTAGTTGAGGGATTAACCTCACCGCACTGGAGGAAGAGAATAATTTGATGTTGTTTCCTTGCCCTGTTACCCAACGTGCACAGGTGTGCCCCTCACCTGGCGCCTTCCTTTCCTCTCTCCTTCCACGACCATTTCGCTGATGGGCCTTCCCTGTGGGAGGAGAGCTGGTTTTCATCTCCCTCCTGATTCTGTGCCCATAAACCCACCGCAAGAAGTCCAAGAAGCTCCGGACTCTTCTGCTTTGAGATCGGGTTTAAAGGCCTCGTCTCCGAGACCATGATTCCACGGACGGAATGGGAAGGTGCCATTTCTGCAGCCATTTTGGGGGAAAACTGGCAGCGTGTGCCGTCTCTCTGCATCGGCGCGAGAGAGGCGGCCGTAACCCATTTTCCTCGGCGCTTCTACAGCTGAGCCTTTCCCATACAAGCAGCATGAAAGGGGGGGTGATGCAGTGACACCCCCCAAGGTCACACGGGGACACCAGGAACTGAACTCAAGTCCTAAGCAGTCTCAACCTTGATCTCTGATCAAGCACAAGCTTTCAAGACAGCCAGGATGGTCATTTCAGATGGGGAGGGGACTGCCTTATTTCCCCCTTCCTGCACCTTACTAGGGCCTCAGGACCCACCCACCCCCCGGCAGCCTCAACCCTCACACCCTGCTTAGCCACAAACCGCCTGAAGATCCCTTGAGCAACGTGGCGAAGCCAAGAGGCAGGGCGACCGTGATGGTCTTCATCTGCTTTTGGTCACACAACTCCTGCTGGTGACGTTGGGGGGGGGGCTTCTCCCTGGCTCAGAAGGCCTGGGCTTCACTCCCGCTGGTCTCGTTCAAAGTCCCTAAGGGACCCGCTGGGTCAGCTGAGCTGGCACCACCCTCAACCGCTTGTGGGGACGTTGGGGGGGGGGCTTCTCCCTGGCTCAGAAGGCCTGGGCTTCACTCCCGCTGGTCTCGTTCAAAGTCCCTAAGGGACCCGCTGGGTCAGCTGAGCTGGCACCACCCTCTGCCCGTTCTCCCCCAAGAGTCGGGATGAATCAGATCCCGGGCATCTCTCGGCTCTTTGGCCCAGGCGGCTAAACGGGGCCCCTGAAAGCCCCTTAACTTCACCCACTGGAAAAAAAAATGTCCCACCCTATTTGACCTTCACTCACACAGGAGAGACATGGCATAAACACACACACACAGACACACAGAGAGAACGAGAAAGAGGCAGGAGCTTCCTCCTCCTCCACCCCCACCGCACACTAACCTCCCAGCTGGGCCCTGAGGCCTGTATGGCTCTCGCTCTTGCGCATTTCCTCGGCAGCCTGTGTCCTTTGGCAAGGCACACTAGGTACCACTGAGGCGTCCCCCTCCATCTCCGTCACACTCCTCCTCTTGCTCTCTCTTCCGCCAGTGCTCCCTCTTCTCCCTCCCCCAAAATCCAGGACTGGGATCAGCTCAGTGGGGCGATGCTCCTCCACCCCCAACCTGTCACCGCTGGAAAAGAAAACGATCCCCCCCCCCCCGGTAATCAAACAAGGTGGAACTGGCATTCTTTTCTGCAGGTCCCTGTCGGGTTCCCATAGCATCGGCCACCACCAACACCAATCTCCACCGCCACACTATCAACCCATCTGCCTTCTCCGCCTCTTGGTCCTTTATTGTCTTCAACCCCAAATTCCCTGCACGGAGGCCACAACCCCGCCCCTTCTCCACCAATTTTATTTATTTCCGATTGCTCCATTAATCCCATCAGAAGCACCATCATGCAAGGAGGCGATGTCTCCAGAGGAATCCGGGGCTGTTTCAGACGCAATATTTATGGCTCCTTGCCCTCACAGTGAAGCTCAAAAGCATCTCAAAATGTTAATTACATCTGGAGGGGTGATGGTGTGTGTGTGTGTGTGTGTGTGTGTGTGTGTGTAAGGCAGAGCTGCTTCGTGTGCCCGTGTACATACGCTAATCATTCCAAGCAATAAAACAGAAGAAGATTCAATTACGGCTGAATAATCTTAATAATAATCTTAATAATAAGTGCAGTGTAAGCACAGAAGCTATACGCCAGGAGAGCTGCTCCTTGCAATCCACCAGCTGCGCTTGCCTTACACCAAAGGAGACCCAAAGGATGAGTCAGAGACTGTGAAAGCGTGACCGTTTACAAATAGCTATTTCTACACAGTTTAGGTGACAGCTAGAACTCTGGCACAGGGAAGGGCCATTTATATTTTAATGCCTATGGAGCACGGCTTTTGTTTTTTTAAACCCACCACCTTGGGAAATGCTTCCAAGCCCTCAGCCCCTTCCTTCAGCTGAGATGAAGCATCTCCTTCCATGCACAAAACCCCCTTTGCTCTCTCCTCCCCACCGGCCATCTCTGGATCACACAGGATTCCTTTAAGCATTTGTCTATCTGCATCCTTTTTTGGAACTCCGATTTTCACATCCTCCCCGTCTTCATTTCCTCAGGCAGACGGGAAAAGGGAGGGGGGGGGATGACAGGTTTTCCACAGTCTGTGTATGTGTGTGGAAAAAAAAAAAAGATCTCCACCCCCTTTTTCCTGCTCCCTGCAAGCAAGCAGGCAGTGATTGTAACGGACTCCATTTTGATATAACCGGCTGCATGGACTCCTAAAATCTTGCAGGATAGGAAATTCGTGATCCTGGGGAAGAGAGGGGCGGCGGAAGATTGTTTCTGGTGTGTTCTGCCGGTCCAGGGCGGGAGGAATAATTTGTCATATCGATTCTCCCCGCTGAAAGTGAGGCGTAACAATATTCTTGACAGGTTGTGGGAGGAAAGCTGCAGAATTAATTAATTGAGCTGGTTTCCCCCAGACCTAAAAGATGGGGTGGGGGAAGCGATGGGGGTTTAACTTGAAAGAGGAGCACCCATCTTTTGAATCCTGCATTGACGGAGGAGCGCTTTTTTGGGGGAGGTGTTCAGAAGAATGCCACTTTAAAAGCCAGGAAGCCAGGAAATTTAGAAATATGGGGGTGGGGGGGGGACACAGAGAGTTGAGGAAGGAGGGGCAGGTAGAGAGGGAACAAGCTGGAAAGAGGGTGCCCAGCACAGGTGGGGAGTCCGCCTTGGCGCAAAGAGGGCAGAAAGAGGCTGAGGTTGGCCGAGAGATGGAGGGAGGGATGGGCATAAGAGAAGTGCCCATGAATGTAGAGAGAAGCAAGGATGGGGGGGGGGCTGGGATTGCTTGGGGAAACAGAGAGTTGAGGAAGGAGGGGCAGGTAGAGAGGGAACAAGCTGGAAAGAGGGTGCCGAGCACAGGTGGGGAGTCCGCCTTGGCGCAAAGGGGGCAGAAAGAGGCTGAGTTTGGCCGAGAGATGGAGGGAGGGATCGGCATAAGAGAAGTGCCCGTGAATGTAGAGAGAAGGAAGGATGCCCGGGGAGGGGGGGCGGCGGTGTTTTAATTGTATAATTTACATATTGGAACTTAAGAAACCAATTACATGCTGTCTGGCCTCGAAAATGGGGTGAATGGGTTGGAGGGGCCAGGTGTCCTTTGTGTGTGCGTGTGAGCGTGTGTAGGATTTCCTGAGACCCAGTTCTCCAAGGATCTATGCTTTGCACTGCATGCATGCGGGCGGCGGGGGGGAGGGACGGTTAGAGAGAGGTCATGCCCCACTGAGCCCCTCACCTTTTGGATCAGCCCCACACCTACACACACACACACACAGACACTGCCCCACTCCATCTTTGCTCCGGCCTCCTTCACACGCGCGCACGCACCCACCCCGCGCGCCCTCCCTCACCTCCTGTGTTGCTCCTCTTGGTGCTGATGGCTTCCGTGGGGGTCTCGAGCGGTCTTTTCCGGGAGTCCGGAGGATCCGAATCCATGTGGGGCTGCGGAGGGGCTTGCGCGGCCGGCTGCGACGCGGACCCCCCTTGCTGATGCTGCTGCTGTTGCTGATGCTGCTGGTGCTGCGGCGGCTGTGGAGGCGGCGGCGGCGGCTGCGGCGGCGGCGGCGCAGAAGGGAAGAGGCCGTTCTGGTGCACCGAAGCGCCTGCCATCATCTTCATGCCGAGGGCGCGGAGAGGGCGGCGGCGCGCCCGGGGCTCCCCTGCGAGGAGGAGGAGGAGGAGGAGGAGGAAGAGGGAGGTGTGTCCAGCGACGGCAAGGGCTGAACTGGCGAAGGACGGACCCCTGCGATCTGCGAGGTGAAACTGACAAAGGAAATTTGTAATTGACCACCTCGAGGCGGGACTCGGGGAAGGGATGGGTGGTTGGATGGATGGATGGATGGATGGATGGGTGGCAGCAATTCAGGCCCCGGCACTTTTCTTTTTCTATCTCTCCTTCCTGCTTGCCTGCTTGCCCTCTCGACACCTCGAGCAATGCGGCGGCGCCGGGGTGGTGGTGGGTTTAAACCTAATTTTAGGGGGTGGGACCCGAAAGAGGCCAGGAATTAAGATCCACCAAGGGGGTGAAGGAAGGGACAGCGGTGGAAAGCGCCTGGGGATGGACAGAGGGCGGCGGAGGGGAGAGAGAAGAGGGGCTAAAGGCAGAAGAAAACCAGGACAGACCCTCCGAGGCTCCCCGACGCGTGGACCCCGACGACAAAGGTGCTCCTCCAGGGGAGATGGGGAGGAAGGAAGGGGAGGGGTGGAGCGGGTCCGGAGAGGGCGCTGGGGATGAGCCCCCGGGACATGCGGAGCCCGGAGTGGATCGGATTGGACTGGACTGGATTGCGGGGAGGGAGGGGGGAGGAATCGAGGTGGGGTGGAGGAGGAGGCGGCGGCGGCACGGGGAAGCCTCGGAAAGAAAGAGAAGGCGCGCGGCCAGCCCGGGCTTGCTTCCCTTCTTCAGAGCATCGCTCTTTTCGCCTCTCCGGGGTGGCAGTGGCCGAGCGATCCACCCAGCAGCTCCTGACGTTGGAGCAGGAGGAGGAGGAGGAGGAGGAAAGGCCACACAGGCTGGCTCTACTCACAGGAGGGAGTTGAGAATAAGGAGGAGCGGGGCCAAGCTGACAAACTGGGGAGGGGAGGAAGAGGAAGAGAGAGAGAGAGGCTATTCTTTGCCTTCGGGGCTTGGCAGAGCTGGGAGGGGGAAGCAGGTGGGGAGGGAGGAAAGAAGGGGCAGCTGTGAGCTCCAGGGCAAGGGGGGGAGGAAAGGGGGGAGAGGGAGAGAGCAGAGCGGATGGGAGAGAAGAGGGAGATTCAGTCCTAAGGAGACCCGCTCTCTCCACCCCTTTCTGCCTGGGGTCGCCTCCTTCCTCTCCGAAGCCCATCCATGGGGCGGTGGAGTTCCCTGGACCTGTGCCTGGTCTTGAGACAGCCGGCGCTT